GTGTGTGTGTGTGTGTGTGTGTGTGTGTGTGTGTGTGTGTGTGTGTGTGTGTGTGCTGTGTTTCCTGTTCTGCCAGTTATGGCGTTCTTTAAAAATATTTCTGATGTTTTTTTCTGCCGTGCTCACAGTCACAGTTCTTTGTTTCTCTCCCAGGAAGCCTAAAGATGAGTGTTTTGGAGGGGAACATGGCAGAGTTTCAAGGATCCAGCTCTATGTCCATGAACAGTGACAAATTAGGAGATTATAATCCAGTCTTCAGTCGTGAACTTGGACCATCAGGCAAAAAGTAAGAAACTGTCTATTATAAACAATTTGAAAATGGTGAAAGGAGAGGACAGACTTTAGTAACATAGTAAAGTTTTTCTGAAAAATGCTCTTAAAGCACTAAGACATTCATATCAAGTGATTTTCCTCAAACAACCACTGACGCTGTATTATGTATTTCAGTCTGTATTATGTTTTTGACTTCCTGATATTTGCTTTCCATTGAGTTTTGTATTTTATTTTATAAAGGAACATAATGACTCCGTATCCTGGTAACTGATGTTAAGATGATTGAATACTGATGAGGGAAAGATTATTTGCTTATATAACAGAAAAATCTAAATGGAAAGCTCTGAAATATTAAATGAAGATCTGAAAGTGAGTTAAAAACGATTACCCTGGTGACAGCCTGCCCTACAGAAAGTACAGTAGTAGAGAGAAAATTGAGTTTTTCAGTCTCCTAAATCTGAAAGAGAGAGAGAAGCAGCTGAATGACCAACAACAGGCACATGTAGAAGAATAATCTGTTCTGGATTCATTGTTTGTCTTTACAGACATCAACAACACAAACACAGACCACAGTTTCCAGGATCCAGCTCTGTGTCCATGAACAGTGACATGTCCAGAGATTATCCTCCAGTCTTCAGTCATGAACCTGGACCTTCAGGCACACAGTATGAGACTGTTTCGGCTATAAACTGAGTGAAGATTTTAGTTTTCGAGTCTTTCACATTATTTCCAAGGGGTCTGCAAGGGTCCTTGACATGTGTATAACCCATTGAAATGTTTTCCTATGAAGTTTTGTAGTAATTAAGAGACTGTCTTTATTATAAACAATGTGAAAATGGTGAGTGGACACAATAAGCTTTAGTAACATAATATAGTCTTCATGAAAAGCCTCTTAACCATTAAAACATTCATATACAGTGCTTTTCCTCAAACAACCACTGACACAGCTGTGTTACTTTCAGCCTGTGTTATGAGTTTGAACGCCTAATATTTGTTTTCCATTAAGTTTTGCAGTTTTATGTTCCTGATAAAATAACTGTTGTACTACCAGTACACTTATTTGTGACTGATTGGTTTGATGCTGCCAACTGCCTTTATGTGGATGTGCTCACAGCTAAACTGATAAATCCCTGTAAACATGGCAAGTTGGTTAACCAGCTTCCTGTGACTCGTTGTGCTGGTAACTAATGTTAGCATTACTAAATATTAATGAGAGAAAGATTATTTGTGTATATAATAGAAAAATCTAAATGGAAATCCAAAGTCAAAAATATTAGTTAAGGATTCTAAAACGATTTAAAAGATTAACCTGGCAATAGCTTGTCCTACATTAATTAGAGTAGTTGTAAGAGAGTTGTATAGCCTCATAAATCTGACAGAGAGAGAGAGGCAGCTCAATGATCAACAACAGAAGAATAATCTGTGCTTTATTCTATGTTTGTGTTTACAGACGTAAACAACACAAACACCAAGCAGAGTTTCCAGGATCCAGCTCTGTGTCCATGAACAGTGACATGTCCAGAGATTATCCTCCAGTCTTCAGTCGTGAATCTGGACCCCCAATCACACAGTAAGAGGCTGATTCTGGCTATAAACTGAGTGAAGATGATTTTAGTTTTCGAGTATTTCGTATTGTTTCAAAGGAGTTTGCAGGGGTGGAGTCACTGAATTGTGCTTATACTCCTCTGAAGCAGATCAGAGATTGGTAGGAATGAAATTACTGCAATTTAAAAAAACATGTGGCCACAAACATGTTTTTTTTTACAAACATTAAAGACACCATTCTTAAAAGATCGAGGCTAAACACAGTCTTTCTGAGAAGGCTCTTAACGCCCTTGCAATTAAGCAATTATTCCCCTAAAACCACTGACACAGCTGTGTTAATGTCTATTGCGTGTTTGGCTTAAATACAGCCCAGATGCAACACTTCAGAGTAGACTGGTTCCCTTGGTTAGTTAGACAGAGGAAGCAAAACTGGACATAACACACATGAGGCAATCTGTGATGTTATGGTTTAGGGCCCGGATGGCTTGGGGATAGAAGCTCCTCTTGAGTCTCTCTGTCCTTGCCCGGATGATGCAGAACCTTCTACCAGATTGCAGAAGTTGGAACAGTTTGCCAGGATGGGACGGGTCCTTCAGTATCTGCGCTGCTCTAGTCTGGCATCTCCTGGTGTAGGTGTCCTGAAGCGGGGGGAGAGCAATCCTGCAGCAGCGTTCTGCTGTACGGATCACTCTCTGGAGAGCTTTTTGGTCCTTCACACAGCTGTTCCCAAACCACGATGTCATGTTCTGTTTGGGGATGCTCTCCACAGTGCCTGTATTGAAAATCCTGAGGATCACTGGAGAGACCCTGAACTTCCTTAGCTGTTGTAGGTGGTACAGGCGCTGCCTAGCCTTTTTCGTCTGGACCTGAATGTGGGCAGACCATGTCAGGTCTGAGGAGATACGGACACCAAGATACTTGAAGGACTGCACCCTCTCCACTGGAGCTCCAGTCTCTGTGCTGACTCCTTCTGAAGTCCACCACCAGCTCCTTGGTCTTGCCAACGTGCAGCTGGAGGTGGTTATCCTGGCACCACGATGCCAGATTCTTCACCTCCTCCATGTAGGCCGCCTCATCGTTGTTGGAGATGGCGCCCAACACCACTGTGTCATCAGCAAACTTCACAATGATGTTTGAGCCGTGGGTGGGCACACAGTCTGCTGTGTAGAGGGAGTAGAGCAGTGGCAAGAGGACACATCCCTGGGGTGCTCCTGTGTTGATGCTGATGCTGTTAGAGACGCATCTACCCACCCTCACCACCTGAGTTCTGCCATAATTAACAGCTGATGTCGAGAGGTCCTAATGTTTGCACTGATATTTGTGTTCTAGTCGACTATCTGATTCTTTTTGAATTCAGATATGTGATCATGTATGGCAGACACCCTATTAATATAACTATACTGCTTTAAGAAGAGGAAGCAAAACCAGAGCAGATTGGGGAGCAGTGTTCCCTCTAAGCTGCTGACACAGTCTCCGCACACATCTGCGCTGCGCACAAAAAAATCCAGTGTGAATTGAAATGAAAGTAAATACAAGTATTTATTTTAATTTCACTGATTTTCTGTGTGTGGAGACCGTGTCAGCAGTGTGCGATTGCTCATGTGCTCAGCTTAGAGGGAACAGTGTTGGGGAGTGTGTGTGACCAAACACGTGGAAACCAGGCGGATTGCTAGCTCCTCTGAGCAGTGTGGGAACCATAGCTGAACTCAAAAGACTCCAGAAAATGGAGAATTAATGTGAACAAACTGAGAGGGAAATCCTGAGCACAGCTGACAAACAGGTTTAAGAGATGAACTAGCGAGCAGAGGAGGTGAAGATGAAGGCAAAGGTAGAGGTGTGTGATGTTGGATGAGAGGCTGCAGGTTTTGTAGAGACTATCCTTGAGTATTCAGTTATGAACCTAGATCATCAGGCACAAAGTACAGATTTTGGAATAACCAGTTTTCTGAAAGTCAAGACAACATTCTTGGAAGCTAGGCTAAACCCTAAGGCCAATCTCCTTATTTCAGTAGACCAAACAGCCACCCACATAAAAGCTGTTTTGCTTCGATTAAGAATAAATGCACTGTTTTATACAGGAAAAGGCAACAAAAAACACAATAAGTGAAAGATACTGAGGGCAAAAACCAGTAACTGAATGCCCACTACTATGAACCTACCACATAAACAAGTGTTTGCATGATGTCTACAAATGTTTTTACTTCCTTTCTTTGGTCAGAATAATTTTTGTTTGTGTCCACAGAGAGAAGAAGATGAATTTCTTTGTGGAGAAGCCAGTGTCATGTTGTGTGTGGTGTCAGGATGTCCTGAAGGATTCATCTACAGACTTCTGTCCCCAATGTGGAGTCAAGTCTGGAACCAGAACTTTTCAGCAGACAGCCAGTAAGAGCAGCTGTGCAAAAATGTAAACTTAAGTATTCTTGCTCTCTTGTTTAATTGTTTTCCATTCTTTCAACAGATACTGATCTAGGAAAAGTTTTTGATGTATTAAAGGTCACTCTGAGGACACGATATGAACATGTGATTGAAGGAACTGATAAAACAGGAATTGGAGCCCTCCTCAGATTAATCTACACTGAGCTCTATATCACAGAGGAGCAGAGTGAAGCTGTACACTTCCAACATGAGGTGAGGCAGGTGGAGAGCGCTTGTAAGAAGATCCCCTGTGAAACACCAATCAGCAGCAAGGACATCTTTAAAGCCTTACCTGACCAACAGAGACCCATCAGAGTGGTTCTGACATATGGTGTTGCTGGCATTGGAAAAACCTTCTTGGTGCAGAAGTTCACTCTGGACTGGGCAGAGGGCTTAGAAAACCAACACATCAGTGTGGTGGTTCTGCTTTCATTCAGAGAGCTGAACTTGGTCAGAGATGAGCAGTACAGTCTCCTGGAGCTGATCCATGTTTTCTATCCAACATTACAGAGTGTCACAGCAGAGAAGCTCACTGTGTGTAATCTTTTGTTCATCTTTGATGGCCTCGATGAAAGCAGACTTTTGTTGGATTTCACTAACAGGAAGCTTGTGTCTGATGTCACACAGAAGTCCACCATTAGTGAGCTGCTGACAAATCTCATTGAGGGAAATCTGCTTCCCTCTGCTCTCATCTGGATAACTTCCCGACCCACAGCAGCCAGTCAGATTCCTCCTAAATGTGTTGACAGGATGACAGAAGTTCGAGGTTTTACTGACTCCCAGAAGCAGGAGTACTTCAGGAGAAGATTCAGAAATAAAGAGCTGTCAAGCAGAATCCTTTCCCACTTGAAAACATCCAGGAGCCTTTACATTATGTGTGGAATCCCAGTTTACTGCTGGATCACTGCTACAGTTCTGGAGCACATGTTGACTACAGAGGAGAGAGCAGAGCTGCCCAAGACCCTGACTGACATGTACTCACACTTCCTGCTGGTTCAGACAAAGAAAAAGCACAAGTACCATACGGGGAAAGAGATGAGACGAATAGAGCTCAGCAGTGCTGACAGGGAGGTTCTTCTGAAGCTGGGGAAGCTAGCATTTGAACATCTGCAGAAAAAGAACATCCTGTTTTACAGAGAAGACTTGGAGCAGTGTGGTCTGGATGTTACAGAGGCCTCGGTGTACTCAGGAGTTTGTACAGAGATCTTCAAAAGAGAGTCTGTGATCTTCCAGAAACCAGTTTACTGCTTTGTTCATCTGAGCATTCAGGAGTTTCTGGCTGCAGTCTACATGTTCCACTGTTACACCAACAGGAAGACAGAGGTGCTGCAGGACTTCCTTAGTAAAGAGATCTCATCTCTGGAAGATTTTCTGTGCAGAGTCATGGAGGAATCCTTGGTTCTTGAGAATAACCACCTGGAACTGTTTGTTCGTTTCCTCCATGGCCTCGCTCTGAAGTCCAATCAAAGAATTTTAGGAGGTCTGCTGGGTCAGACAGAGAACAGTCCAGAAACCATCCAGAGAGTCATCAACAACCTGAAGGAGCTTAGAACTGATGACAAGTGTCCTGAAAGATGCCTAAACATTTTCCACTGTCTGATGGAAATGAAGGACCTCTCAGTACATCAAGCGATCCAAGAGTTCCTGAAGTCACAGAACAAATCAAAGAAGGAACTCTCTGGAATTGAATGCACAGCTCTTGCATATATGCTGTTGATTTCAGAAAATTTTTATGATGAGTTGGATCTGAAAGAATACAAAACATCAAAGGAAGGACGACGGAGACTGCTTCCAGCTGTGATGAATTGCAGAAAGGCCCGGTGAGTCTAGATTTGATTAACATTATAAAACAGTGTAGATTAATAGTTTAGTTCTTAAAGTTATTCTTACTAAAAGATTATCTCTTCTCATTACACAGTTCCAGTTATTTATTGGAAACATTGTGAACATGTTTGGGGTTTTTTTTGCTTTTTTTTTTTTTGCTTTTTTAACCAAAAATTATTTGGGTGATTACATTTTTAAACATCTTCAGCTGAAACAGTGACTGTGGCCAAATGTTAAAGTAATTGGATAACACTTCATGTTGTTACAGTGGTTGATTTTCAACAATACAAATTAAATCAGTCAAGTGATTCAGTACAGTCAGTTTTAATAATATCTATTTAAAGCTTAATTACATCACATTGAGTAGTCATAAATTAACCACACGAGACTGTGATAGGAAGGACCCAAGCACGTAGTGTTGCAAGATGAGTGTTTGTTTATTTATAAAGTGTTTTAACCAGTTTGCTTTTAGCACCTTTCCAGGTGCACACTTCAGTTCAGTTCTGTACACAGCTCTGTCCTGTTGTTCAGCTCTCACTCCTTTCTCAGGCCCCAGCAGCAACTGAAATAGGGTAAACATGATTAACATGCCAGACTTCCCTTGGTCCCCTGCAGTTGAGCCACAAACAACACCCTGCCCCAGAGACAAAGATTGATCCTGAGTCCAACTTTTCATTTTAGCACTGTGGCGTTAACAGACACAGCAGCACTTCCAAATCATATTTAGGATTTAAGATGACATAGCAGCAAGACACACCTTCATTGCATCTCCATTGAAAGTGGGGTATTCAAACTATTAACCAGTTTATAAATTGTGTTGATAGGACAGGAAAAAACAGACTTAATTAATAAATAGTTTCAGACTTTTCTTGAATGTTGTCACCATGTTTAGTAGAGGAAGAAATGTTAAAAACTGGAAATTATGGTAAATGGCCTGTATTTATATAGCGCTTTACTAGTCCCTAAGGACCCCAAAGCGCTTTACATATCCAGTCATCCACCCATTCACACACACATTCACACACTGGTGATGGCAAGCTACATTGTAGCCACAGCCACCCTGGGGCGCACTGACAGTGGCGAGGCTGCCGGACACTGGCACCACCGGGCCCTCTGACCACCACCAGTAGGCAACGGGTGAAGTGTCTTGGCCAAGGACACAACGACCGAGACTGTCCAAGCCGGGGCTGGAACCGGCAACCTTCCGATTACAAGGCGAACTCCCAACTCTTGAGCCACGATCGCTCAATTATAAGGAAAGTGCTCCCAAGTAGAAAGTGCTTGCAAGTAAAAAGAAACAACAAACAACAAAATGACAACCACAGAAATGATAAACTCTTGCACTTTCCTTCCAAGAAGGAAAAAAATGTATTTACTTCTTGGATTTTATGTTTTTTTTGTGTGTGTGAATTCAGGCTGAGTTTGTTAATACATTAAAAAAATAATTCACACATCAGTTTTCTCTCTTGCATCTGCACATTAGATCAAAACAAAGATTGAAGATATCTATGTCTGAGAGGAACGGAGGAGAATTATTAGAATTATTATTAGAATGTTTCATGTCAGTCTGATCAGATCAGCTGCACCACTGATGTTAAGAGACAGTATCTAGTTGTTTTGCATCAAGTCCACAAAATAAATAAAATGTTTTTCTGCAGAATAACATGTTTTTATTATTATATTATATTTGCAATTATGTGTCAACACAGACTTCCTGATGTTTATATTTATGGGCAACGGGGTGGAGCTGTGGCCTCAGCTCTGACGTCAGACCGCTCCCATCTGAGAGAGCTGCACCTGATTTCAGTCACTGTGCTGGAGCCAGCAGATGAACTTTTTGCTTGTCTGGGGCATCCAAACTGTAGACTGGAGACACTCAGGTCAGTTAACTGAAACTGAATCTGTTGTTATTTATAAAGTTATTTCACTAATATGTAATCCAACTCCAGTAATGTAGGATGGAGGACAGGGATGCACCAATCCAACATATTTATATACATATTTAATATGGTACCTTGGCTTCACCACACCAAGACTTGGATTTTAGTAGGTGATTTTGGAGACTGTATAATGAATGTATGTGTATAAACAGTCAAGCCCATAATTATTTAGAGCACTCGCAAATTTTGACTTAAAAGTTACCTTTGTTCAACCAGGTATTTTTCTTTAGTTGGATCTGGTTTCTATCGAAAGACAATAGCTTTTATTTTTTATTATTATTATTATTATTATTATTATTATTATTATTATTATTATTATTATTATTATATGAGAAAAAAAGTGCCAGGTCCAAAATTATTCATACCCATCACAAACTGTCACAGTCACTGGGAAAATCCAATGTTCTTTCCAAATAGTCAAAGCTGTTCTAAAGCATCCTACCCTGACTAATTGGAAACAGCTGTTTTAACTAACTCAACAGGGCTCTGCAGTTGGGTTGTGGACAGTCATGGCTAAGATAAAGGAGCTTGGTGAGGACCTGCAGCTGTGTATTGTGGCTGGTAAAAAAGCCATATCTAAATGTTTTCAAGTTCCAGTGGCTGCAGTGCAAAGTTATATTCAAAAGTTTTGCACTGTGGAAAATCTCAGAGAACATTGTTGATAACCAAAAGTGACACCTGTGCTGGCCAGGATGATAATGATAGAGGTGAAGAAGAATCATAGGATCACCATCAATCCTGGTCAATCTGTGCTCTGCTGGTATCAATGTCTCAAACAGTCCAACGGACACTGCACACTGCTGGGTTCCACGGAGGACACGGCTTCTCCAGAGAAGGCACACAAAAGCCCCTTTGCAAATGCTCATCTGGACAAAGAAAAAGATTACTGGTCTTCTGTGTTATGGTTAGATGAAACAAGAATAGAATCGTTTGACAACTATGATGCTTCTTTCATTTGGCATACAAAAGGAGATGCCTTCAACCCAAAGAACACCATCCCCACTGTCAAACATGGTGATGGGAACCTAATGCTTTGGGGGTGTTTTCCAGCCAGTGGACCGGGGAACCTAATCACAGTAAATGGCACCATGGTAGTTGGTTAATAGTTGGTTTTGTAAGCCACCACCTCCGTTCCATGATGGTTATTCACAGTGGACATGGGTGACATTTTTTTTTACTTCTCTTTCAAACCATCTATCTTCTCTGTCCAAAATGTGAGCCTTGACAATAGCATCGAGGAGGCTCTTCTATGTTGTGCCATGTGTTTTTGGAGTGGCTTTCTCCCTTATGTAGAGATATGAGCAGACACAAAGTATGTCACAGTGCACAATATGTAGGTTGAACTGTTTAAGGGAGGTTTGACTTTGGGATGACGCAGTTTTTGGGTAAGGGTGTTACTAGGTTTGAAATACACAGTGATGTCATGTTAAATGAACACTTTGTAACTCACATGATTGTTATTCAGCTTTGAGAACGTCACTTTGTCAGAAAACAGCTGTGCTGCTCTGCTCAGTGCTCTGAAGTCCAACCCCCCCTATCTGAAACGTCTGGATCTAATAGGATGCAACCTGGAGGGCGCAGGGATGAAACAACTGTATTATTACCTGGAGAGTCCACACTGTAAACTACAGTTTAAAAGGTCAGTTTACTTGACTTAAGATTATGAAGGAAAAATATTTCTTTGGTTTCTGTTTATCGGTGTCTGCAGAACAAACAATCACACATACAAAAAGAATACGGCTGTGCAGAAGGTTGACTTTGTGATGATCCACAGTAACAAAATAACAAAGTTACTGCACAATGCACATTTAAAGGTCTTGTGTCCTAACACTTTATGAACTTTTAGTTTCACATGTCCCCAGAAT